TTGTCTAATTTGTCTATTTTATAATGAATGAAATAATCTTTCTTAAAAACCTTTCTATTAATATGTTCTATAACAAAATTATATTTTAAATCAATATGCTTGACTCTACGATTGTTCGCGGGGTTATTTAAAATAGAAATACATAAAGTTTGTTTCGCCAGGGTTTGTACTTGCCACCAGCATTTGCCTTCCTTGTTTAACAAATAAAAATTGACTGAAACAAATTAATGACGTCAAAAACGTTTGTCAATTCTTAAAAGAAAAGTCATTCATTTTAATTTGTCAAAAAAATTGAATGTGTCATATGAATTAATCTACCACAACCCTTTTTTTTCAAGTTTCAAGGTCAAGTATGAACCCTGGTGAAACGAACTTTACCTGATTATCCTCATAAACCAATAATGGTCGCACACTTAATCCAAATTCTTCCACCAGCTTCAATAACCACAGGCTCTCCGATACAGCACTACATAAGGCTACTAGCTCTGCTTCTGTCGTTGACAAAGAAACACATTGTTGTTTTCGTGTTGACCACATTAGTGTATTATTGTATAATTTAAATACGAAACCGGATATAGATTTACGATCATAAATATCTCCAGATCAATCCACGTCCACAAAACATTCTAAATTAAAATTCGTATGTTCTCTCTTGAATTCCAGTACCCTTCAAATATCTGAGTATAGTTTTTAAGTGATTCCAAGCTGTATCAGAAGCTCTGTCTTGAAATCTGCTGAAATAATTCAACGCATAACAAATATCAGGTCTAGAACCCAACATTAAGTACATAAGACACCCTATCAATTCTCGAAATGGCTTCTCTATTAGTTGACCAGGTTCTTCACAAATGTCAACATTTAATTTTGGTTCTATTGGAATGGCTGATATTTTGCAGTGTTGCATTTCAAATTTTTTTAATAAACCCCTTATGTAAGTTTCTTGATTCATCTTCAAAACTCCCTTATCTCTGTCATACTTGATTTCCAATCCCAAAAAGTTCTTCAATTTCCATTTATCTACCATTTTAAAACTTGTCATTGATTTTGATTTTATTTGATTTAATAAATTTATGTCTTTACCAGAAATAATAATATCATCCACATATATTAACAAATATGTTGTACACCACAACTTTAAGAGTTGGAGGTTTACGAAGTTGCAGGTCAAGACGTTGATAATTGTATTGGTGTAGGAAAGCAAAATTAAACACTTTTGGTACACTTAACTAACTTAACTTTATTATAACTTGAATCAAAAAAATAAGAAATTAAGGAAAATAAAGCCGTAAGGCTATAATGGTTACTCAAGAAATTGGAAATAATATATGATGATGTTTGCTTTAGCAACGAACAGTTTTATTCGCACTCCCGTAGCAGTGAAAATGAAAATATACAATGTGTCCAACATAAGGAGGGCCAGTATGGGGATCTGATGATATGGTGGTTCAAAGACGAAACGTCGGATTTCAAATTTAATAATGCCATATTGTAGGGGAGGAAAAGTGGCAATGACGAAGTGCCATTTATTTCGAAATATCTCTTCAAATGATGTCAGGAAAAAATAAAATCGTTACAGTCGAATTTCGGGTTTTCCCAGATATCTCCGGTATCCCTGGGAATTTTCTAAATATCAGAGCGGTATTTTAATGAGCAGAAAGCTGCGCAACTTTTTCCTAGTTTGAGCAACGTCTTATCTTTCACTGTTTCCGAGATCCCCATACTGGCCCTCCTTATCTTGGACACATTGTATAAAATAAGGATAGCATTTTGTGTCAATTATATTTTCATTTCTAAGAATGTCAACTATTTGCTATGTCTCATTCTCATAAATTGAATTTAGTTCCCTGTCTATTGCATTTAACCATAATTTACTATCAGAGCTATTACCTATTTCATTAAAATTTGTAGGAACATCATCTACGAAAGATGTTGCATCAAGCCATATAAAGTTCAAAATCATCATATTTAGCTGGTATTTTAATAGTCCGTTTACCTTCTGCATGTCTTATATTTTCCTCATTTCTCAAACTTTCATTCTGATTCTCATTCATTTCTATTTCACTATTGCTTCTGTATATGGCTATATGCAACGCAACCAAAAATTCTGAAATTACTGATGTCTGGTTTTGAATTATACCAGATTTCTGCCGGAGTAACATTTAAATTTGAAGAAATTCCTGCGGTTCTAACTGCCTCACTCCAAAAAACTTTAGTTCTTACGTTTAGTCTTCCCGTTTTGTTGAGGCATAATTTAGTAATATCTTTAGAAACGTATTCCCCGCTATTATCACATCTCAATTAATGAATTTTGCAAGTAAATTTAGCTTCCACCATTTGTAAAAATTCAACAAACCTATCATATGTTTCAGATTTAGTTTTAAGAATAAATACGATTGTAAAATTTGAAAAATCATCTATAAATGTTAGAAAATATCTACCACTATCTATAGCTACAGGAGTAATAGGTCCACTTAAATCTGAATGTACAATTTCAAGAATTCGAGTACTTTTTGTACGAGTGTCAAAAGGTATTCTCGTAATTTTTCCTTTGATACAAGGCTCACAAAAGCTTACGTCATGAATTTTCAAATTTTTAGCAATCCCTTTAACCATATCAGTCCTAATAATTTGTTTTAATTCGCTAAAACCTATATGGACATATCTCTTGTGCCATTTTATATATTCAATATCATAACTTTCAACATTAAGGCATCCAGGTGAAGCGTGTTCAAATGTTATTTCATATAGATTATCCCTATTACTGATCCTTAAAATCTCATATCTACTATCTATTAATTTAACCTGCCCTTTTTCAAAAAATAGGTACTTTGATTATTTCCAACACCCACAGCCAACAAGAAACTTGAATCTTTTGCTATTGCAACTTTTATTCGATTTTCTACCATGCATAAATTTGAAAAATATTCTTCCTTGTTGACCATGTGACCAGTACATCCCAAATCAATATAAAATATTAAATCATTTAAACTTGTGTGTTTATAATTATAATTTGTTTGTACATCAGTTTGAATATTTTTTCCACTCATAAAACAAACATTTTTATCATTATTTTCCCTACCAACATTTTAATTAAAAGCATTGTTACCCGAATTGTTATTATCTGAATCATTTTGGAAATTTGAATTACATTTTGCTCATTATTAGCATAATTACTTCGATAAAAATTATTAAAACTTCCCCTGCTTTGATTTGATTTCCTCTGTACTGTCCTCTAAAACCACTATTGTTACCTCTCATGAAACTTCCTCAAAACCATCCTTTGTATCTGCCTCTATCAGTATATTCACGATTTGTTCCTAGACCCAGGATTTGACCTTCATTTTCATAACATTCCCTTTTGTAATTCCCCATTTTTCCACATTTAAAACAGCTATGTCGTAACATGAAAGCTGTTGGAGTAGCCTTCTCATTTTCTTTTATACTTTGTCTCCCACTTTGTAAACCTACCTGTCTTTTTTCATTCTCTGCAAGAAATTTATTTTTTACAATTTCGAAAGTCACCCTTGGTAAATTTTCTACCACTGTAACGAATGTACTATATGAACTAGGTAAATTTATAAGAAAATTACATATTAAATCTTCATCTGTAATTTCCATGTTTGCTGACTTTAACTGTCTTACTATACCAGCAAATTCTTCAATAAACTTGACTGGACATCCATTTTCCTCCAGCTTCATGCTCAGTAGTTTCCTTTTCAAAAACAAGTGTTCTGGTAATTCTTTCTTTTCGTATTTATTTCCCAGTACTTTCCACATTTGGTAGGCAGTTTTATATTCACGTAAACTTTCTATTTCTGAATCTTCTATGGACTGAACCAAAAGTGATTTTGCTTTGTTATCCTTTTTCTTCGCTACGTTATTTTCTAGGGCTACCTCATTTTCTACAAAATTTCTTCTGCGGGCACCTTTAAAAAACTTGTGAATTTGCTTTTTTTTAAATCTATTTATGCTCTACCGCATATGCACACCATTCCCCGTATTCTGAACCCATAACCTCATGTAATATTTCAAGGAAAACCACTGAAACTCCAATAATTCTCAATAAAATATATGATAATATAATTTTAGCTAGAATTTTAGTGTATCATAAAACTGAAATCTTAACAATTAGGTTTATATACCTTGTATGTAACCGTTATGTAACCCACAATGCAATCAAAAATTATCATTAAATCCTATTAATGTTCACAATTACTCCATATCCATATGTGCATTGTGCTTATTAGCTTGAATCCTCACAAGGGTTCGGGTCCTGATAATATTCATCCTGTCTTTCTTAAAAACTGCCCCTTTATTCTCGCTAGACCCCTACATCTTATCTTCAATAAATCGTTGGAAAGTGGATCTTTTCCCAAATTCTGGAAAACAAGTTTTGTCGTCCCAATACATAATTTTTTGCCTCATAATTTGTCTTTTCATAATTTGATCTCTGGTTGTTTCCAATGATTCTGATATTGCTTAGAAAGAGTTTTGAAAAGGAGTTTCTATGAAAAGTTACTGGAATGTTGTTTTGCATATGATTTGAGTGGTAATATAGCTTTTACTTTGACTTAGTGCAATAAAATGGCAAGTCCATAAATAAAATTCAACTTCAAATTTAGATAAGATTTCAATTGATAATATGGAGTTTGAATTTTGAAGTACTTTTTTTTAGTAACAACAGGCAACTGGAGAATTATTATTTTATAGAAGAGACAAACTGACCAGCGAATTTTTCCTCGTTTTCATATGTGTTTGATAATAAGTTATTGGCAACACCCTTTTGTAATTGCTAACAATTTTGAGTGTAAAGTGTAACCATTTGTGAATATACATAGTTGAACAAACTGAAATCAGTCCCTCTGGCTATATACCTATATTTGTTTAAAATAATTGAAAAACTGATCAGAAACCATCAGATTTCCTTTCAGAAGAAAAGGCATAACATAATACATTAATTGCCCAATAACCATATCCCTAATTACTTTTTTTTCTACTAGGAATTGGTATTGTATTCACCTTTAGTTTGCCTACAACACATCGCCCACCATGAATACAGTTCCGGAACAATATTTTGTATAATATTCTTCGTAACTGCGATTATTTATTTCTTCGGCGGAGGCCTTTTGATGTACTTCGTACGAGGAGCTAGAGGAATCGAAGTGATACCAAATTTTGATTTTTGGATGTCCTTACCTGGCCTTATGAAAGTAAGAATCACTTTTAAATTATTTGTTTGTATTTAATGTTTTGTATTTTAGGACGGGCTAATATATGTTTTGAGCGGCTGTCGCCCGAGTTCTACTTCAACTGCTGAAACTTACGATAGGATATAAAGCAACCAGAGATAATTGCTGATTGTTCTTATTTCTTATTATGTGAATGTGACTGAATTTAATTATGTATTGAGTATTTTTTTTTTCCATGAATACTATTGCCAAGTAAAAAATTATAGTCTTATAAGTTTTTGCTTGCCAATAATATGTATATTTGGCTGGAAGATCAAATGAATGTTTTTAATAAATTGTTGGGACTAAAAATTCTGGGTTTCATTTCGTAGACAAAATTAAACAAATTAAATTTTATTTATTTCGTACACAAAAATATTAATAAAATTAAATAAGTAATCTCGTTTCTCACAACAGCAGGCAACTGAGCCAATAAAAAAAAATAAGGTATATAAATTAACCAGGAACAAAAATCATTAGAAAATAGCTGGTTGAGATTCTAATAATTAATAATACATTTTTGTGCCTCAACTCTACTTAGTCTAAAATAAGTTTTCTTGGAATGTATTCGATTTGATTAAAGCTACAAGCAATTATAATTAAAAATAAACAATAATTGAAGAATATTCTCTAGCTTAGTCATACTTATAGATGATAATTTTTGATTAAAACAGCTTTTGGCCACAAGATAAAGGTAACTTGATGATGTCTGGCCTCTATATTTTATTAAAAGCCCTAGATAGCTCTTGTCTATGAATTCGAAAATGGTTTTGTTGTAGCAACTAATTATTTTTCCGATTTTCATAGAGCTATCTAGTACTTTAATTATAATCTATTCTAAAGACATTATATGTATGAAAAATAGATGGAAATCTACATTATTAAATATTGTAGAATATATAGGATGAGTTTTGAATTTACAATAAAATCTTAGATGTGATAGGTAAATCCTTCTATCTACATTTTTTTGCACAAGAACATTTAAAATTGACAATAAAATAGCGCAATGGACATAGCAAAGTTTGTAGAAAAAAAACTAATAGCTGCTACTTAAGTAATACGTTACAGCCTTGAGATCCAAAGTCACAAACGTATTGTATTTTTGAAGATACTTACCAATAAGTACTAAAAACAATAGCTACCTATGTGATTATTATTTTTTTAAATTTCCTCATTAGCCACAGCATTTAACGGACACAGCACAATCCTGGGATCATTTTCAACCATCCTATCAGCATCTTCATTACTTAAAAACATATTATATTTTAGCTAATAATATACTAACAAATCTATTAGTTACCTTATTCCCTTATGATCTTGAGGCATCAACTTGCACTGTTCCGAATCTTCAATTTTATTGGGTTCGTAAACCACCTCAGACACTGGAGCGTATTGTGCCGTGACCAATAAATCCGTCGAAGGATTGATTGTTAAGTTTTGTCCGCTGGATGTGCCCATGTGGTCTTTGACGTTGCGCCAACACATTCTTCTGGTTATTCTCATAAAGAACACTAATTTTGATTATGGTTAGTTTTTGTTTTATGTATGTTATACTATACTTACTGAAAAGAAGAATTGACAATGCGAAGAATAATGCACCGAAAATTGTTACAATTAAGTAGATGTCGGCTTTTTGGTCAGTGGTTTCCGAATAGCCCAGAGCTCCGTTTATAAGCATCACCAATCTATAATATTAGGATTTTTATTAGGGCTTTTCTTGTTTCGTCCATGGTGCTATTATTAACTGAACTATGATGAATGATTTAGATTTTTATATATATGGAAAGAAATTGACTTAATTATAAAGTGTATCATTTGAAAAATCTATAATAACTGTTTTTAAGTATTCAATTAACAATTTTAATTGTTACCCTCAAAAGCAGGCACAACTTAATAAATAGTGAGAGGGACAACTTGGTAGATATTACAAGTTTTTACTAAATTGTGACCTTCATTTGGTCATTTAATTAATAATTATATATGCATGCCAGAAAGGTAAATTTAACTTAATTGTGATATATTATAGGTGTATCATTTACAGAATCTGTAATAACTGTTCTTGAGGCTTCAATTAATAGTTAAAGTCGCAATTAGGTACCATGTAACTTTACACTGCTGAAACTGGTCTACAAAAAACTAACAGGAGCTGTGAGATCTTGTCTTTGGTGGGAGGAATCAGTAGCTGCGACAGCAGTGAAGTTAAGGACAGCTCAAGACCGACCCAATCCAAGGTATTAAGGTGGGAACAAAATGGACACAGACAAAAAAAAACAAAGTAAAGAAAGGGAGAAGTCAGGTTCTGACTCGGACCCTTCAGGACAATCGGAAAGAGGAAGGATGGCGATTATGGTAATTCGTAATTCAGATCAACCTTCAGTACAGTAAGGCAGCCTCTACGGTCCTTTCTGCTCCTATGGGAAAGTATATATTGCTTTGATTTAGGAACCGTTGATCAGACACGGTGAAATTAAAGGACTGAGCAGTGCGAATGGAAAGTTGATCTACAGCAGATCCCCTGTTACTCCTCGGACCTGCATATACATTCAAGAGAACGTCAATGTACTGCCCCTAACACTTTTTTGTTCTGGGGATTTCACAGCAGCCAATGACCCGATAATTATCGAATTCTGCCATCATTTTAACTAACGATTCAATAATTATTGAAAATTCAATTTTAATATAGATTTTTAAAATTTCTAGTTAAAAATAAAAATTTATTAAAAAATTAAAAGTACAAAAGTAGTTGTTGGTTTTGACAGTTTTGACGTACACTGGTGCGAGCACCAAACACTAGTCCCAGATTGAGCCAAAGTTTCATGCCAATAACTTTACTGGTTTCCAAAATATGGCCCTTTGAAATACCTATTCGAAAATCCAATTCCCATGCATACCTTTCTGGAAAAATTCGAGAAAGAGGAGATCAAAAATAGTGAAAAAGCATTTTTGCAATTTTTGGACTCAAAAAAGTTCAATAATCTGTCATTCTTTCACAAAATTGCTGATTACTCGGTTCTTATTATAGCAAATATGATCTAAAATTATATATTCTGAATCATAATTAAATTATCTTCAAGATAACATAAGATTCAATTGTATATCTTGAATATTTCTGAAGATATTGAGGCTCAAAGTTGAAACTTTACCTCAAATTTTGCAACAGCTTCCAGACGGATTATCTTGAAAACGAAGCCCTTGGGCTTGGAGTCTTGAATAACCTTTTTTGTAGCCCTTATTAAGAGCTACAATTGGGCAAAAGATTCATGCCAATAGCTACAATTGGGCAAAAGATTCATGCCAATAGCTTCATTGGTTTCCAAAATATGGCCCTTTGAATTATTTGAAAAGCAAATTTCCATGCATACCCCTTTGGAAAAGTTCGAATTTTTAAATTTTCAGTTTTTCGAATATTTGACTTCACCAATCGAAAGAAGAGGTTAAAATTAGTAGAAAAGCATTCTCGCAACTTTCCTTCTTGAGTTTTAAACCCTTGTTAAAAAATAAAAACGATTTTTGCAATTTTTGGGCTCAAAAAAATTTCAATAATCTGACATTCTTTCACAAAATTACTGATTACTCGGTTATTATTGTAACAAATATAATGTAAAATTATATATTCTGATCCAGAATTAAATTGTCTTCAAGATAAAATAAGATTCAATTCTATATCCTAAATACTTGTGAAGATATTGAGGCTCAAAGTTGAAACTTTACCTCAAATTTTGTAAAAGCTTCCAGACGGATTATCTTGAAAACGAAGCCCTTGGGCTTGGAGTCTTGAATAACCTTTTTTGTAGCCCTTATTAAGAGCTACAATTGGGCAAAAGATTCATGCCAATAGCTTCAATGGTTTCCAAAATATGGCTCTTTGAAATATTTGGAAATCAAATTTCCATGCTCTTTGGAAAAGTTCGAATTTTTAAATTTTCAGTTTTTCGAATGTTTGACTTTACCAATCGAAAGAGGAGATCAAATTTAGTAGAAAAGCATTTATGCAACTTGTTTTTAGAGTTTTAAAGCCTTGTAAAAAAATAGAAACGATTTTTACAATTTTTGGGCTCAAAAAAGTTCACTAATCTGACATTCTTTCACAAAGTTGCTGATTACTTGGTTATTATTGTAACAAATACAATGTAAAATTATATATTCTGAATCAGAATTAAATTATCTTCAAGATAAAATAAGATTCAATTGTATATCTTAAATACTTCTGAAGATATTGAGGCTCAAAGTTGAAACTTTACCTCAAATTTTGCAAAAGCTTCCAGGCGGATTATCTTGAAAACGAAGCCCTTGGGTTTGGAGTCTTAAATAACCTTTTTTGTAGCCCTTATTGATAGCTACAATTGGGCAAAAGATTCATGACAATAACTTGACTGGTTTCCAAAATATGGCCCTTTGAAATATTTGGAAATCAAATTTCCATGCATACAACATACCCCTTTGGAAAAGTTCGAATTTTTAAATTCAGTTTTTCGAATTTTTGATTTCACCAATCGAAAGAAGAGGTTAAAATTAGTAGAAAAGCATTTTCGGAACTTTCCTTTTTGGGTTTTAAAGCCTTGTTAAAAAATAAAAATGATTTTTGCAATTTTTGGGCTGAAAAAATTTCAATAATCTGATATTCTTTCACAAAATTGCTGATTACTCGGTTATTATTGTAACAAATGTTGTGTAAAATTATATATTTTGAATCAGAATTAAATTATCTTCAAGATAAAATAAGATTCAATTCTATATCTTAAACACTTCGGAAGATATTGAGGCTCAAAGTTGAAACTTTACCTCAAATTTTGCAAAAGCTTCCAGGCGAATTATCTTGAAAACGAAACCCTTGGGTTTGGAGTCTTAAATAACCTTTTTTGTAGCCCTTATCAATAGCTTCAATTGGGCAAAAGATTCATGCCAATAACTTCAATGGTTTGCAAAATATGGCTCTTTGAAATATTTGGAAATCAAATTTCCATGCATACATACCCCTTTGGAAAAGTTCGAATTTTTAAATTTTCAGTTTTTCGAATTTTTGATTTCACCAATCGAAAGAAGAGGTTAAAATTAGTAGAAAAGCATTTTCGGAACTTTCCTTTTTGGGTTTTAAAGCCTTGTTAAAAAATAAAAATTATTTTTGCAATTTTTGGGCTGAAAAAATTTCAATAATCTGATATTCTTTCACAAAATTGCTGATTACTCGGTTATTATTGTAACAAATGTAATGTAAAATTATATATTTTGAATCAGAATTAAATTATCTTCAAGATAAAATAAGATTCAATTCTATATCTTGAATACTTTTGAAGATATTGAGGCTCAAAGTTAAAACTTTGTCTCGCATTTTGCAAAAGCTTTATTATCTTGAAAACGAAGCCCTTGGGCTCGAAGTCTTGAATAACCTTTTTTGAAGCTCTTATTGAGAGCTACAATTTCCAGAGTCCCAGCTAGAACCCGAAAAATGTCAAAAAAGTTGACAGAAACTTTTTCTGATAATTTTTGTTGGAATCTGATAATTTTGTTCTCAAATCCTGATAATTTTAAATTTGACATCTGACAACAGCCAATATCAAACACAGATGATTATTTTAAAAAAAGTCAACCCATAATTAGGTATCTACGAGGGGCTTTTCACCCAAGGAAATCGGTGTACAAATTCCTGGGAATACTTGGAAATAGCTAGAAATACTTGGAAATATCTAGAAATACTTTGGAAATACCTAGAAATGCTTAGAAATACTTGGTAATACTTGGGAATACTTCGAGGAATACCTAGAAATACTTTGAAATACTTGGTAATACTTGCCCAATGATGTGAGAAAACAGTTTGTTTCTGAGCTTCCTGAGCGCTGCATCTTCTCATAAATTACATAGGTACTTTTTTTTGAATTTTTACAGTGCCAGTTTGTTTTATTTGATTGTGAGAACCTCGGATTATTCAAAAAAGAGGTCAAAAAGCAGTACCTAATAAGGATAATAAAGAATCTTGTATTACCATTGAATTAAATGATTGTCGAAGTATATTGGTAAGAAAGTCTGCATTATGTTGGTTTTTTAATGCTAATAATAGCAGACTTGAGAAACCACAAAAAGTCAAAATCCAGAAAAACAGTTTTCTCTAGAGTTTCTAGCGGATCTTTGATTAAATCTTGTAAAAGCATTAAAATTCCTCACAAAAGAATTCCTAACATTGAAAAGTTATAGCTCCTCTAATTCATCATCGTGTTTTGATTCTGAGAACTTTTCTTCAAATACTATGCCATTTATTTTGATGAAGATTGGTATGTAGGCAGACTTTCGAGAATGACTAAAAAATCCTGTAACATGAAATTTTTAAAAAGAAATTTAGACAATTTTGAATGGCCTTTGAGAGAAGATAGTAGAGCGATTGAGAATAAGTTTTTTTCTTTTTTGGCGCCCCTATCAGCCCATTCCAAGTTTTGTTGGTACCTACCTAGAGAGGTGTTTGGTTTCCTCTACTTTCAGTATACTTTGACCTTGTCAAATCAATATGTAGTGGTAACAAAATGAAATTTAGCCTATTGTTTAAATTGAATTAGCTAATAGGTAAAACTTTAAAATATTAGGAGAATACTTGGAAATACCTGGAAATACTTGGAAATACTTGGAAATACTTAGAAATACTAAGAAATATGTACTCAGAAATACTTTGAAATACTAGGGAATATTTGGAAATACTACTTAGAAATACTCGAAAATACATGGAAATACCGTGAAATGTTAAGAAAAATGGAAATCGGTGTACAAATTTTGGTAGGTGAAAAGGCCCCTCGGGTATCTACTTAGTTTTAGTACCAAGTTCTAAGTTCTTACCCAAGTGAAAAGCAAGCAACGCAAGAAGTAATCAAAACCAATGGTAAAACGTTCCGAGACGGCATACAAGACATACAGGGCCGGCGAGCTGTTTGCGAAATCGAGCCTAAATACGATATCGGCCTGTCTTGCCAGCGATCCGGCGGTCCATTCGACTCGTATTGCACTGTTGTTGGTTGGTAGACGGCTCCAGACATTTTGTAGTTGTGTTTACTAGAAGAAAAAAAAAAAGAAAATTAGTCTATAAATAGTGTTTGTGTTTCTAACATGCTCACAAGGTAATTATAGAAAATTCTCATATAGGCAAAACAAATTAAACTATACAACAAACAAAATGAAGCTAAATTAGATTAAATCAAACATGCTTTGTTGTTTAAAATACATCGTTACTATTATTCATAAATAGTCAAGTCATACCTAGTTCCAAAGGCAAAAATAAAATTCTCTTTCCAAGTTTTTTTTCTTTTTTTTGGAACTAAGATGTGGAAGGAATAGCTGAGATTTTTAAATAAATCAGGATCTCTTCTTCATTTGTTGCCTGTAAATGCTATTGTCTAGAGATTTTAATATAAATCTTATTAGAGAAGCTTTGTAAAGACTCCATCCTTGTTGGCTATTCTAACATAAATAATATACATGTGCATTCTCCTACAGTAATCAATTGTTTGTTCAAATTTTGATAGATAAGATAACATGTAATATTGTTAATGCAGGTCTATCCGTTCACGAAGCAATAAATTGCACATAAGTCAGGAATTTACAACCAAAATAATTTTAATAATTTCACATTTAAATCTGAACAAAAGCCATCATATGGTTTACAAAAGCTTTCAAAACTTCGTGCGCCTCTTGAATATGATTTAAAAAAAACGATTCAAATAGTGCAAACGATTCAAAAAATGCATTTTTACAAAAATATTAAGCAGATCAAACAACAAAGGGAGACCTGGAGCATTTCCGCCATTTCCAAAAATAATATTTTAGTAAAATTATAATATACTGTAAGTAGGTTGATACCCAGTATTTTTATATGTCCTGACATTATGTTTTTAATATTTTGAGAAGTTTGGCCTTTGTAAGTTTTATCATAATTTGTACATGGAAGTTCATAAACATGAGTTTTGGATTCTATTGGATCTTCAGCTTTTAGTTTTGTGTTCAAATTACCAATTGTTTTTATGATTTTAAAATAAATTTTGATCCCCCCTGGTTCCTTCTGTCTTTTCTAGAGCTTCTGGTTTTGGTGAGAGACAAAGCACCAGAAAAGATTTTGATTTTCATTGATGCTTATACCTCTTCTCAAAGTTTTAGAATTGATTTTTTGAAATATTTCTTTCTTAACCAACAGTAAAACTTTTAAAAATGTTTGGTTGTAAAGCATTCGCTCATGTCCCTAGTCAAAAAAAAAAAGGAAATTGGATATGAATGCCATTCAGTGCATTTATTGAAAATGAAAAAGGATGCATATTATTAGAGAAAAATAGTCAGTTCTTGGTTTTCACATCTCAAGGGACGGAAGTAACAAAAAAATTTGGATTAATCAACAGGTCTGTTTGAGAAAAATTTCAAATAAAATTGATATGGATAATAATCCTTTAGACACTCCATTAGAAAAATTGAAAAAGAAAACCTAAGCAAAGGAGAGAGGAAACTTGAGAACAAAGACTTGACATATTTTTTCTTTTCCAGGCTCTTGAATTTAGTTTCCTGAGAAATTTGAAGAAATCTCAAGAGCCTGGAATAAAGAAAAATTGAGAAAGAAAACTTAAGCTATGTGCAAGGGCGGTTTAAAGGGGGGGGTAGAGGGGGTAATTACCCCCCCCAGACAAAGTTTTTTTTTATACATTTATCAATTACAACAAAATTTCAACAAAAGACAAGTTCTACAAAGTAAAGGATTAAAGGCTTCGTATGAATATGATAGGCTCACCAGTACCGACGTACCTACCAAGGTTCCTAAAGTTCATAGGTTGTCTGGTAATGGGTAACTTGATGACGCATCTGGTGGCCTTATGTAGATTTTCATTATCTTGAATCACCCCAGATGACGTCATGAGGTTATCAGGCATCCTACCTCTCTCAAACAATCTTGCGTACTTACTACTATACAGTGCTATTGCTAACACCCTGTAGAATGTTAACAGATTTTCATGGGACCATGAAGTAAATGTAAGTAAAGTCCGTCGTTTTTAAACTGACACTTTCCGTATGAGGACTATGAGGAGCGAGGGGATGAGGTATATGGCAAAAACAGGTGTGACGTCAGGTATCCATTGGCGTTCTAATGTAGGAAGGCACCACCTCAAATTCCGTTGGAGTATCAGATTAAAATCGACAGACATTATGCACTAACAATCTGCAAAAGATTTAGCTTATAGAATCTCTAATTGATGAAATATGGTGGTTTTTGTTGACACATGCAAGCTGCGATTTTTTGAAAAAATATTAAATATTTTAAAAACGGTTGAGTTTTGGTATGATGATTCCTAACAAAAAGTATGTAGGATTTTTAGAAAGATAGAATGTACTAAAATATAGGGTGCGTTCCATTTGCAAATAACAAAGTTCTGTCGCATACCCCATTTGCAGAGCACACTGTATATTTAAAAATATTTCTAAGTAATTTTATTTTTTTCTCTTGCATCACCCTGTAAGAAGATATCGTCCGATATCGCACTAAGTGGACACCCTGTATAACTATTTTGACGGCATCGGGAAACATTTTTGCCCCAAGCGTGTTTTTTAAACGACTTTCGGGTGCAAATTTGGGCGTGGCACCTCAAAAAAAAATTTGCCTCCGGCGGTACGTTCCGTCACTTGATGATTTCCCGTCATCCATTACCCCCCCCAGAAAATCATGTATGGACCGCCACTGGCTATGTGTGATGTCTGCTGCTCACCTGGTACGTATAGTTATTAAGGCCACCAGGCACTAGTCTTGTCATAATAACTGTCAGATGGTTTCAATCATAGTCATGTCATAGTTATACCGGTTATACTTATTGGAATTTAGTTATAGTTATTAATGATGTTTGATTAATAAAGTTCATATCGAACGTGTATCATTCAAAATTCAATCTACGATGGTCCAAATATATTTGATTTGCCTTAAAATAGCAAAAACTTCTCAAATTAAAATTCAAAATTTAGCAGGTGCCCGTACTAGTCGGGAACCTGCTTGTTGATTTTTAGAATTTTGACTTTGGCAGCTTCAATATTGGTGTCCATTTTTGTACCATAAATTCAGTTTTATAGTGGAAAATAATATTAATATTGGTGATTCTGAGTTCGAAAGTGTTCCTTCGAATATCGAGACAGCATCATTGAAACGGTTTTTCTGGTAATTAACTTTCTTTTTGTATATTTTTTATTTCACAATTTGGGTGTTTTCATGAATTCTTAAACGCACTAGTGCTATTATGAAGGACCTAATGACGTTCAAATGACAATGCTAAATTTGTCATAATGACACCGACATAGATTATAGTTATTAATGATCACAAAACACTAGTTCGATATGAACACCATAAAGTTTCATAAATAAAGTTCATATCGAATGTGTATCATTCAAAATTTAATCTACGATGGTCCAAATAGATTTGATTTGCCTTGAAATATCAAAAACTTTTCAAATTAAAATTCAAAATTTAGCAGGTGCCTGTACTAGTCGGAAACCTGCTTGTTGATTTTTAGAACTTTGACTTAGGTGGTTCGAAAGCAACCTGAAAGACCGAAGAAAGGCTGTTAAAATGAAAAATTTTACATCGTCTGAAATTGTAGTGACATCATGGGTACCTCAAGGGGGGCATTTGTCAACCATACTTTTTAATTTGTTTGTGAATGATGTTAAATTAATTTTTAAGGACTGTGATTTTAGTGTGTTTGCTGATGACTTCAAGATTTATAAGATTGCGATCGATGCGCTGGACTGTCAATCTTTGCAAGAACAACTTAACTTGTTTACCACATGGTGTTCAGTAAATAATTTTCAACTAAATGTCAAAAAATGTAACGTAATCACATTCAGCAGAATCAAAAACCCAATCACTTTTAATTATTCAATTAATAACTTAGGGTTGTAAAGAAAAACCTTAGAGTAATCTATCATTTAACACTCATATTGAAAAAACCACAAACAAAGCAATGAGGATGCTCGGGTTTGTCTTTCGAACTCTGAGAGAAATTGATAATATTTTTACTTTAAAGAAAGTCTTCTGTGCCTTAGTACGTTCACTGTTGGAGTATGCTAGCTCCGTTTGGCAGCCTTATTATGATGTACACAAGCAGAGTTTGGAAAGGGTGCAGAGAAAATTTCTTAGGAGGGTTGGGCTTAAGATGGGTATTCCTTATGAAGAAATAAACTGTGATAACTTAATGAAGCTTTTAAATCTTACTCCCCTTGAGAATAGAAGACAATTATTTGATGTCTGTACCCTTTTTAAGATTTTACATGGCATAATAGACACCCCAGATCTTCTTGCAGAGATTGACTTTCATATTGCCTCTAGGACCTCACGTCGGAAAGAGTTGTTTAGCCTTCCTTTTCATAGGACCAATTATGGCGTTAATATGCCCACAGATAGGATGTGTAGGATTGCAAACTTAGTGTTACAAAAAAATGAAGACATTGATATTTTTGACTGTGATTATAAGACTTTCTGTAAGCAATCTAAGGATATTTTACTGTTTTTGTATGTTTCACTTTTAAGTTTTGAATTTTATTTATATTTTTTAATTTTAATATTTAGCTTCATTTTTTCTTTCTCCAACTGATACAGTTGAAATTAGGGAGACTATGTCTGAAATTAAAAAGAATGGGGCTGCTGGATGGGATGAAATCTCTATTCGACTGTTTCTGGCACTCCCAGATGAGGTAATAACTGTTTTGTCTGAGTGTATTTTTCCGGAATGTTTGAAGCGGGCAGTGGTAGTGCCTTTGTTTAAGGGTGGGGATGAAAATCTACCTGAAAACTACAGGCCAATAGCCTTATGACCGGTGCTTTCTAAAATCATTGAAAGATTAGTAAAAAAACGCATGAATGCATTTCTCTTTAAGCATAACATATTAAACAATAGACAATTTGGGTTTCAAGCTGGTAAAAGCACTAATGACGCTGTATTTTCTTTTCTTGAAAATTTATATTTGAGTCTGAACGATGGGGAGGTGGCAGCAGCAGTGTTTTGCGATTTAAGCAAAGCATTTGACTGTGTTG